TAGAGACACAACTAAGTCTATAGGATCATTCAAAACATTACTACGCAAGCACTATAAAGATCTAACGGACAGTGTTTTCAACCCCGATGACCCGAGAACTCTTAAGTCAGTTTGTGTGAAATATCACACAAGTCGTCCTTTATGGAACTTATTATCTAGACCATGTTGTTAGGTCAATCGAACCTTATATAGTGATCCCTTATTGCGTGTGCCAAATTAAATGCAATTACTATAATGCTATAATGAATATTACTTTATCTTATGGTTTAACTCCATGTACGAGACTACGAGTATAGCATTTTGGCGGTTGTGGACGGTGTGCGTGATAGGGAAAGCAGTCATTAAATTTTAATATAGCTTGCATGCTCGACACATAAACAATCTTAACAGCTTCAAATTACTCTAGTACTTCATTCACGAGTTCAGAATTTCAAATAGGATCTCATGTCGTTGTCTTATCGTTGTTTATTTCAATTTGTGGCCTGTTAATTTGTTTATCTGTTTATTAGTATGTCTAATATCTGTCACGCCATAGTGTAAATTATTGTTATGTTTATGTATGTCGTGGAACCCCGTTATTGGAGATTTTATCTCCGTGTGGTCATTCCAGCCATTGTGTGTAATTTATAGTTAGTTTATATCTTTAATAATGGCAAATTCGTAAAAAAAAATTTTTTTTTAATTGTATAGCTAGAAATATAGATATATATTTTCTTCATATTGTATGTATTACATGCTCGAAGATATTAGCTCATTGTTTGAGCTACTCTGTGAATTCGAGTTAAAATAAAGTGTATGTATGTATGTATGTATGTGTGTATGTATGTATGTATGTATGTATAGTCTGTAGTTAGAACTAGCATCTAAATATTATATCTATAGGGGTCTTAAATAAAAGCCTGTTAAGTTTTCTGGTAGGCCCCTACCATAACATTAATCTAATATTTTTTAATGTAAATATTTATATGTTATAATATATGGGCAATAAAACGAATATATATATATATATATATATATATATATATATATATATATATATATATATATATATATATATATATATATATATATATATATATATATAAACTTGATCCGAAGGCGAGAGTTTGTATATCAGATACAGATCGGATGCGAATGTTTTATCATGATCAAACAAAGACAATTTACTCAATAAAAGAACGATCTTGTTCACTCGAAACCGGTTTTTGTGACGACACTAGCCGAAAATTTCACTTCTTTTATTGAGAAAATTGTCTTTGTTTATGTCTTTCAAAATTCAAAAATATTTTTCCAAACATAAATTGCAGCGTTTTGATTCCCCTGTGTACGAAATAGCGTGTATTAAAATTGACCATTTGATGGTATAATCCTGACTGTTTTCTTTTAATTTCCAAATATGTTTCGAAAGTTCCGTTTTGTTTGATCATGAGTCTTTTTTAATTTAACTCTTTTCTAGTTTTGTGTAGCAAACGGGCGGATTTGCTTTTTATAATAGCCAAACCGTCATCTCTATAAAGGCCGATGTTTTCCTTGCCAAACCTCTTACCTAAGTGATTTAAAATGAAAAGGCCTACCACAGCTCACAAATTTCAGCGCCGTCGAAACTACCCATAGTGACGTCAAATAAACTGTTGCTTCCGTCTTTTTTGTCCATACTTTGCCGTTGCCGAAAAGTAGAGATTTTCTTGCATGTTTTACTACTGAAATATCGTTTTCGGTGATAGTAGCCAAATCAGAAGCCCAGGCCAATGCTTCATTTAAAAGTTTTTCTGAAATGGATGGGTAAAAATCCACAATGTCAAACGAAATAAAACTGTGCCTGTCTTTATTGTTATATTGCCAAACCCTCTGATCCATGTTTGTACGTTTTCGTGATGTTGTCATGTAAGAGTTCGTTGTATGTGTTCATGCAGTGATGTTTCGTGAATTTTTTTTTCCGCGAAAATGAAAGTATTGGGGGATGAATTAATTTTCTTCAAATCGTTGGCCAAAGATGTCTGAAATTGGTCTTTAGAACGCCGGAATTTCACGTTTTCAATTAGTTTTATCAAGTCGTCTTCGAAAGGTTTCAAAAGTGAAATTGAAGGAGGCGATTTGTTAGGCGAAAGGCCGAAAAGGATGCTTTGGTTTTGAGTTGTTGCTCCTTTTAGGAAGAAATTAGCTTTCCACCTCATACGTTTTGTTACGCTTTCCACTTTTTCAAACAAATTCTTTGAGTAAGCATCCTGTGATGGTATAGGAATATTCTTTAGTGAATAATCGAATCGAAATTGTCGCATGTTTGAAGTAGAAATAAAATGAATAACGTAGATAAGAGTGCACAACCGGTTACCGCGGGTGCAAATATAGCTTAAGTTTTTGGTTTACGAAACACAAACAGTGCTCAATACCATGTAGATAGAGCGTAATATAGTTTTTCGTTTTTCCTCAAAAATTCCACAACAGCAAATAGCAAAAAAGCAAATCCGCCCGATTACTAGACAAAACTAGAAAAGAGTTACACTACATTTTCGAGCAATTTGACCTGAAATTTGAACGTTGTAAATTTATTAGATGTTACTTTTGACCTGAACAACGCAAAACACAAACCATATAGGAAACCCAATGACGATCCATTGTACATCAACAGACATTCAAATCATCCACCAAGCTTTACAAGACAATTACCTACGGCTATCAACAAACGCATTGCGCTTCTCTCATTGGACGAACAAACATTTAAGGAATCTACACCTATTTACCAGGACGCTCTTAGACATAGTAACTTTACACCAACACAGCAAATTCCATGATTATTAGATTACAGTGATATCGAAGGAACTAGACTCAGTTCCGAAATATCGCATACACGAACCGACCTGACCGCGTAGCTCAGTTGGCAGAGCATTGGGCTAGTATTCCAAAGGTCGTAGGTTCGAATCCCACCGTGGCCAGGCAATTTTTTCAAGCTTGCCCGGTCATGTGGATATACACTCAGAGTAACATCACACAAACATCTTATTCACCAGAGTACATTACACCAACACAGCAAATTTCATTATTATTAGATTACACTGATATCGAAGGAACTAGACTCAGTTCCGAAATATCGCATACACGAACTGACCTGACCGCTAGCTCAGTTGGCAGAGCATTGGGCTAGTATTGCAAAGGTCGTAGGTTCGAATCCCACCGTGGCCAGGCAAATTTTTCAAGCCTCATGCCCGGTGTGGATATACACTCAGAGTAACATCACACAAACATCTTATTCACCTGAGTACATTACACCAACACAGCAAATTTCAGAAAATAGTATGTTACCTACCGAACTATAATGCCTTCTAATTAGACTAATGATAATATTTTGTTTTGAAAGATCGTCTATTTTCAGCAGGTGAGCTCCAAATTCATTGCACGCACGCCTAGCACCATGCCAATTTAGTTCATGACTTTGTTCAATTCTGTAGCAAGAGTTATTGAACACCGACCATCCAGAGCCACAAATCACTTCTAAAATTAAAAAAATTAAACTGAGAGGATGTTTACTCAATCTTGTACTGTCTGGTAGAATGTGATATTGAACTATCGCTATACCCCTCGCAACTTGCAAATATATCTGAAAAATTGGGAAATCTTGCCTACGGGATTTGGGACCAATTCAATAATTCGACTTGATATCAGTAATATTATCTAACAAGTATTCGCCGAAGGCGAGGTGATTATCGGTGAATAATTCGAGTGAATAATTATCAGTGAATTATAGGTAAATAAATCACCAAGCATGAGGTGAATAATTGTTTTAGTATAATATTCATAGGTGAATATTTGGAAAAAAATAATTTCAGTGGAAATCATGCATGGGCGTGACATAATATTTCCGCGTTAGATTTTGAAAGCTTGAGTTCTAATGTAAATAATATAGATTTCAAAAATATTTTTACTTGCAAATGCACGTGAATATCTTATGAAGACACAAGCAGGATATCGAATATATATACTTCAGGTACCGTATACACACTATTTTACATATTACGATACTATATAATTCGATATAAATGGAAATAATTATTACACTGTTGTCAAATTAAATTGGACCTACATGTAAAGTCCGAGACCGCTTAATTTGCCCCCAAAATATACACTACTTTTAGTTACTAATCAGATCAACGTATAACAGCTAACCAGGTTATAATTATTTTTAAAATATTAGGCATTTTTCAGCTACATGAAGAGTAATGCGCCATCCCAAGGGGGGAACGTAATACCTCAAACCGGAAAATTGAATTCAAATTGAAGGGCCAGTCCTAGTCTTTTTATGTGTGCGAAGACCGCGATCAATCGGTCATAGTCATACATGACTGCATTCTTCAATTTTACGACAAGAAGCTTTATAATAAGGTCCAAATCTTTTCGATAATGCTTGTTTCAGGTAAAACTTCCCAGTAGACTTTAGTTTATTTCTTCTATTTTCCCCAATAATTGTTCATTGAAAGAGTATTTTTCTGAGATAAAAGTGTGCCAAAGAGTGAGTGGTTCTTTTGGTAACTCTCAGCTTCGAAATATCTTTTGATTATATTTTCATTTTCCACGCCGGAATATACGCTTTCTTAAAACAAACAACAAATCAACATTTTAACAAAACAAACTTGGTACACCTGCAATATATTTCCGCATAAATTTTTGCCATGAAGTGAAAACTGTTTGACTGCTCTTCCACTAATGATTTTTATGGTTTCTTATCGAGTTTTTTTCCAAATCTCACTCCTGACATTGCCCATATTTTTGAGATCAGTTAATAGGTGCACCCACCAACCATAACCATGCGCCGGCGATCCATTCATTGACGAACTTTATTATCCAGAAGCTCTCCCTTTAACAGGTGTAAATAGCCGAGCGGAATTAGTACCTTCGCCATGGGCTACCACCCGGAAGGGCGCTTATATACGCGCCGTTGGCTAGCTCGAAAATTATAAATAAGTCAAACTAAAGCGAAACAAAAAGCGACCAAAAATCTCTCTCACTTGATTTAACACAAATAGCATGATTCTTCTCATCACAACTTTTCCAAAGACCATTGCCGTACGAATTTTCAACATAAAGACATCTAGTCGATTTTAATTCCGTTAGATTTGCCAGGTCTTCGACTATATGTGTTTTGCATGTGTTGTTTTTACGAATGCCCAACCAGTACGACATATTTTCTTGTATTATTCTGTCGTCACTTTTTGGAAGTGCATCAGTGACATCCTTTTCATGTTTAGACAACTGCAGTAAACTACAGTTTCTTTTAGCGAGTTTCCAAGACAGCAGACGATGATTTAGTGATGAAGAATTGGCATGATCTAAACAGTGAATTATATATTTAAGAAAACTCAGCCGCGGCAGGCAATCTCTTTTTGCTTGCGCGCGGTCTGGAAATTATGAAATACATACTCAAGAACATTTTCAATATATATATATATATATATATATATATATATATATATATATATATATATATATATATATATATATATATATATATATATATATATTT